AGGGAAGACCTAAACTGCAGGTGGAGAAGACACTGAGGAAAACATTTGGGCAAACAAATCCATACCTTAAACACAGGTAACACTTGAGGAGTTGGAAGTGTGTAACTATAGCAACAAGAAGCCAAGGATCTACACAGAGGAATGAAAACTGCAAGAAATCATCATCACATGAGTAGGTGCATTATTTATATCTCTAAAAAGATAACTGCTGCTTAAGTAAAAAGTAATAACAATATGTTGTAGAATGTATAATAAACAGAGAATTAAAATGTATGACAACAATAGAAGTGATGCCAAGAGGGAAGAAACTGAAGTATACTGGTGTAAGGTGTGACGTGTTATTGAATCATTTGAAGGTACATTGTGACACCTTAAAGTTATATCCTGTAAACTCTAAAGCAAACACTAAAATAACATGCAGAGTTATAATAAATAAGCCAACAAATGAGATGAAATGGAATTTTAAAAATGCAATTAATCCAGGAGTCGGTAGAGAAAGAGGAGAAATGAAACCAAGAACAGACAGGAAAAATAGAAAATAATTGCCAAGATGGTAGATATAAACATAACCTATCATATGGTCCAAACACCTCAATTAAAAAGGAGAGATTGTCAAATGGATATTAAAAAAAAAAAAAAAAAGACCACCCTTGTGGCCTGCTTAAAGAAACCCACTTTAAGTATTTTTAGATTAACTGAACAAGAAGGCCATCAGACTGAGGTGGTTTTAATGCCTTAGTAGCTTAGGCAAGCAAACCAAAACCTATGCCTATAATGCCTCAAGGTTAGGAAACTGAAACCTAAGTACAACCAATCACAAACACCCAGCTAGCTTTTCTCAAAGAATGCAACCACTTAGGCTATAGCTACTTGAATAATTTCCTTGCTTCGCTTCCACCTCTTCTCTATGAAAGTCTTTCCACTAGCACCTGACAGTGGAGTGCTCCTAATCACTTCTGGTTTGGCACTGCCCTATTTGAATTGATTTTTGCTCAAATATACAAAAAGTTTTAAAAAATGTTTTATTTATTTATTTGACAGAAAGAGGTCACAAGTAGGCAGAGAGGCAGGCAGAGAGAAGGGGAAGCAGGCTCCCTGCTGAGCAGAGAGCCCAATGCGGGGCTCCATCCCAGGACCCTGAAATCATGACCTGAGCTGGAGGCAGAGGCTTAAATCACTGAGCCACTCAGGCGCCCCTCAAATATACAAAATTTTTAATATGCCTCACTTTAAAGACACAAATAGATTAAAAGTGAAAGAATGGAAAAAGATACACCATGCTAACACTAATCCAAAAAAAAAAAAAAAAAAAAGCCAGAATCACTATGTTACTATAAAATAAAGCAGGTCTCAGAATAAAAAATATGACCAAAATAAAGAAGATCATTAAAAAATGATAAAATAGCTAATCCATCAAGAGAATATAGCAATCCTAACTGTTTACACATCAATAACAGAGCTTCAGAATACACAAAGCAAAAACAGAACCACAAAGAGAATAAATAATCCATAATTATAGTCCAATATTTCAACTTCTCTCTTGAGAATTAATAAAACAATAGAAAAATGGAAGAATATAGAATACCTGAATAACATGAAATGTAAATGGATTAAACACACCAATTAAGGTGCAGGTACTGGCTGAATGAGTAAAAAAAAATGATCCCACTATATGCTATCTACAAAGACACACTTCAGATTTATACTTCAAGACTCAAATAGATTGAAAACAAAAAGATAGAAAATGATATACCATACACAGAGTAACCAAATGAGAACTGGAGTACCCATAGTAATATTATAAAAGTACATTTTAGGGGCACCCAGGTGGCTCAGTGGTTTAAAGCCTCTGCCTTCGACTCAGGTCATGATCCCAGGGTCCTGGGATCAAGCCCCACATCGGGCTCTCTGCTTAGCTGGGAGCCTGCTTCCCCCTCTCTCTCTCTGCCTGCCTCTCTGCCTACTTGTGATCTCTCTCGCTCTCTCTCCCTCTCTCTGTTAAATAAATAAATTATTTTTAAAAAGTACATTTTAAAACAAAAATTGTTACAAGACAAAGAACATTTTCTAATTACGAAAGGGTCATTCTATCAAGAATATATAAAAGTCATTAACACAGAGAAGTCTAGCAGCAGAGCCCCCCAAAACGTTAAGCAAACATGAACAGAACTGAAGGGAAAAATAGACAATACAACAACAGTAATTGGAGCTTTTAAAACCCTACTTTCAATGGATAAAATAATTAGACAAAAAAACCAAACAGGAAATAGTCTCAAACACTATAGACTAACTAGAACTAACAGACAACTATAGAATGCTTCACATTCAACAAAAGCAGAATACACATTTTTCTCAAATGCTCAAACAATATTCTTCAGGATAGATTGTATGTTAAGTCATAACATATTAACTTGTTGCCTCAATAAATATGAAGGAATTGAGATCATAAGTAGGTTCTCCAATCCTAATGGAACGAAACTAGAAATCAATAACAGAAGGAAATTCGGGGGGGTTCACAGATATGTGGAAATTCAAATCAAACTCTTAAATAACCCTAATAATAGGTCAAAGAAGAAATCACATTGGAAATTAGAAAATAATTTGGGATGAATTAAAATGAAATTATAACATACCAAAACTTATGGAATATATCTGACACAGTGCTTAGAGTTTCCAGTAGCTTCTGAAACACCCAGCTGGGGCATCTCTCCTCTAGTCAAAGGCAGGAGTCCTGATAAACAACTCCAAAACTCTGATCCTCTGACCTACTCAGGAGACTGGTTTCAGACACCCTCCAGTAAATGTTGACTGAATGAATGGTTGAGCCTTCTTCCCTAAAGCCACAGAGCCCTTACTATGTATCAGGCTAACTGCTGCTTCCATGTACAACTTTCAGTGACCCCATGTCCTCTAGGGTTGAAGCTGAACTCCTCAGCCTGGGTTTTGGCCTTTCCAAAATGACACTAACTTGACCTTTCAACCATATTCCCAACTTTTTCTCCAATATTCTCCAGTCAGGGCTATAACCACTCAAGAGATTTTGCTCCCTGGGTGCTAGGAGAAAGGGCACAGATGTCAGGGCTAAGTAGGTCATTATGCCAATCTTAGCCTATTGCATGATGCTGGGTGGTTCAGTTTCCACATCAATAAAATTGGAATTTAAAAAAAATCTGCCTTGAGGGGTGCCTGGGTGGCTCAGCGGGTTAAAGTCTCTGCCTTCAGCTGGGGTCATGGTCCCAGGGTCCTAGGAGTGAGCCCTGCATTGGGTTCTCTGCTCAGCAGGGAGCTTGCTTCCCCCCCTCTCTCTGCCTGCCTCTCCGCCTACTTGTGATCTCTGTCTGTCAAATAAATAAATAAATAAAATCTTTTTTTTTTTAAATCTGCCTTGAGGAGCACCTGGATGGCTCAGTTGGTTAAGTGTCCAACTCTTGAACTCAGCTCAAGTCTTGATCTCAGGGTTGTAGTTCAAGCCCTGCATTGGAGCCTACTTTAAAAAAAAAAAAAAATCCACCTTGAAGAGTACCATATGTATTACACAGTGCTAGGCACATTGTGGAGATTCCTTATATGGAAATACTTTTACTACTACTACTACTACTACTACTACTACTACTACTACTACTACTACTATTTAGAAATAGTATTATTACTATTCTCCAACTATCCACATCCCCTACAACCTTCAAAGTCTCTCCAAGGTCCAACAACAACCAAGTCATCTCTGACTATTCCTTTTCTCATTTAGTGTAGCTCTAAGCAACAAACAACTGATCAGTCACTCTGGCTATTATCCTGTATTAATAAATGTTGTTTCTCATCTAGGTATCGAGCAACTTGAAAACTTATATTATATTCTAGTTTAGAACACTAAGTGCAACGTGATGCTTAAAATCCTAGACTCTCAAGCCAAACTGGATTCACAACCCAATTTCTTCATATATTACCTAAGTGACTTTGGGCAGGTCACCTAACCTCTCAGATCTCAATTTCCCCATTGGTGAAATGAGACAGCAATGATAACAGTGCCCACATAGGGTGGGTGGCTGTAGGACTTAAATGGAGTAAGAAGAATGCCTGTTATATAGTATCTGCTTAATTATTGTCTGTAGAATAAATTGACTCAAAGTCCAGAATATTAGGCAGGCAGTTGCAAAAATTAGATCAACTGACACACATTAATTTTCACCTTCCACCATAAAAATCCAATTTGGTAACACACTACTCTGGCAAATTTGCTTGATTAGAGTGGTTAGAACAACATAATATGATCAAATCATTGTAGCCAAAGTTGTTTTTCAGGAAATTACTTGAGACTAAGCTGAAAGCCCTAAACCTAGTAATCAGAAGATAATCCTAATATACTTCCTAAATGTGTGTTCCTCCCTGGGACTCACAGTCCTAAGAGATAGACCATCATTGTTTTGTCTGATTAGTAGAGGAAGGAGAGATGACACGGAAAGGTTGCTTTTCCAAGATATTGAGTATTGTTTTTGTGTGTGTTCCAGGTAAACAGCTTGGGAGTAGGCAATATTATCCCTATTATACGGCAGAAGAAACTGAGGCTCAGAGGCATTACCCAAGACCATACAACTCGTGGCCACATTCAAACCCAGCTTTCCCTGACTCCTAAGCTCGGACTCCTTTTGGTCTCCACAAGGTGAGGTGGCCATGGGCAAAAAGTAGTTACCTCAGACTTTTCATGAATACACACAGAAACAGTGTTCTCACCACTGAGTTTTCAGACACCTGCTCACCTTCATGACTGAGGGGCTCTTTTTCTCCTGGCTGAGGAGAAATGTACTCAAGATCTTAGAGAAAAATGGAGACCCATCTTCTGAGAGAAGGAAGTTGGCACTGCCACAGATCCTCCATCTCTTGTGCAGAAATGGTCTCAGATGCCCTTCACCTCGGCTGGAGTGGGGGGGTGGGTATTGCCCACCCCTCACCAACACTAAAGGCAGAGATGAAAGTGGCTGCTTTCACAGAAGGGCCACTTCTGGTTTCCCTCCCCACTCAGCCTACCCCTTGAGAGGGCGTTTCAACTACTTGTCATAATGAAAGTGACGTTGGTTTCTCTGCCGCAAGCGAATGAGGGGTGAAGAGAGGTATCTTCTTTGTTCTGGAGCCTGCCCTGGAATTAAGCTCCTGCTACTCAGAAGAGGGAGAAGTGCTGAGTGAGGCCGAGGAGCAGCAGCAGAGCCAGCCCCTGGTGACGAGCGGTTATCTCTGGCTCCCCAGCCATGCCCTGGCAGCTCTCTGCAGTGGTGGTGCTCTTCGTGTCCCTGGCTGGTGAGTGATACCCGTGGTTTTCCGTGGTGGCCCTCCTACCTCTGGTCCTGTTCAATACAAATACATTCTAGTGCCAGGGATCAGACAGGCTGGAGATAGCTGTATGGCTTCAGCTACTCTAGGTATTTAGCTTGGGAAGCTCTCCTCCTTATTACCTTAAATGTGTGGAGTACACTTTCATGTTTTTCCCAAGGGCTTTCACAGTTTGGACTTGTTTTCCGTGAGTCAGGCAGAGGAGGTGTCAACTCCAGAAGACAGTGACACGAAACCTGGTTCCCGAATGGCTTCTGAGCACCTTATCAGGGAGAGTTTTGGAAATCGCTTAGATTTAAGAGATGGAGAACTGAACCAGACTTTAGAAATGGGGCTCTTGCTAAACACATTATACCTTGCTTTTCCTGTTTTTCTCAAACGGAAGTGCTGTGTTTACATTATATAAACAATGAACCGTGAAGTTGAATGAGATGCGGTCTGGCAAATTGTGCCATCTCAAAGAGGTGTAAGCCAAGCAGTCAAGACTTTTTTTTAAAAAAATTACTATTATACTTCAGGTCAGAGAAGCTGTCTGGGAAACTGGGCTTTTGATGATCATTTTATGTGCCCACTGCCTGCTTTCACAAAGAGGGTTTTCTCTCTAGGACATTGAGTCCTCCTGTGTGCTGTTACCCAGTTGCTGGTTAGCTCACAATTCCTTCTAGAAGCACTGAGTTGAACATGTGAGGGAAACCCGTGGCCCCACTAACACGCTCCATTGGGGGGAAGCAGATGCACTTGATTGTGGCATGAATTGTCGGGAAAGTTGGGTGAAGGGTCACGGCAGTGTCCTCATCCTGGCTGTTTTACTTCTGCCGTGTTTTCAGAAATAGAGTTTGATATTCTTCTAGAGGCAAAAGGCAAAATCTAAGCTAATAAAAAAAGCAAAAGATCACAGTCTAGCAGTCAGCCTCTGTGGACCTGTGAGCAGATGACTGGCAGATTCAGAAATGCAGTGCGTGCTCAATAAATTCCCGGGGAGGTGGAGAGGAAACACCTCTACCACCCTCTCCTCTCTGAGCTGTGGATTCTCCAGGGTGAACCAAGTGAGCAAAGTGTGTGAAGGGCCCCCATTTTCCAGATGAGGGTACTGAGCAGGTTAAGGAATGCCTCGTGGTCACTCAACTAGCAAGTGGCAGCCTTGAGATTTGCATCCAGGAAGCCTGGTTTCAGGACCCTGCACGCATAGGTTCAAGACATACTTGTTGAATTGGAGATGAGCAAAAACCATTGGACATTTTCGTAGGAGAGGCATAGATTCTAGGTAAAGTAGCTCTGTAGTCTTTATCTACTCAGTTTGCTGCCCTGGTCTGTTTCCCCCACAAAATGAGGGGATTTAAATTTGTATCGGTTCCATTTAGATTTAGCTGCTCCTCATAGACAAATAAGAGCAAAATAAGCAAAATAAGTGTGTGTTTCTCTTTCATCTGAAAACAAGTCCAGAAGAATCCTTATCAGGTCCAGTGCAGGAGCTCACTAGTGTGGACCCTCTGTCCGGTGTGGGACTCCCATCTGCAAGGTCTTGTCATGGTTCTAAATGTCTGCTGGAACTCCAGCCATCACATACCATTTATAGGCTAGTTTGAAAAGGAAAACATAAAGGCTATAGAGAGGGTCCATAGGTGATGGACCCCCCCCTTCCAGCAGCATTCCCAGAAGGCCCACATAACCCCACCACTTCTCCTGCTTTGGCTCAAATGCAGTTACACATTCCCACCCAGCTGGAGAGGAGTCTTGGAGGTAGCATTCTTTATTCCAGGCAGCAAGTGCTCTTTATTCCAGGCAGCAAGTGCTCCACAAGTGAATTTGTGGTTCTGTTACTAAGGGAAAAGGGGGGGCTGGATTTGGGAGTAGTTAGCTAGCAGTTTGTGCCACGGGACTGGAGCTACTTCTATATAAGGGTTCTCTTTGAATCTCAAGTCCCACAGAAAGTAACAGAGGTAAGATTTATATCTTTTTGCTAAAAGATTGAAGGTTAAATTGTGAAACTGTAAACAGAATCTTACGAAGGGCCCACCCCTGCTGCCTCACACATCCAGAAACAGTCTTCCTGCTGCACCCAGCTGGGGCTGCCTCTGCTCCCTGGGAAGGAGAAAGTATTTAGGGGCTAAAATTCAGTTCCCAGCCCCTAGGTGTGGCCATGGGGCTCCATTTACTTCCCAGCTCTGTTCCTAACTGCACACATCTCCCTCTTCCTTATATTCCCGTCATGCTTACCCCAGTGCTGTTCTCCAGACCTACCAGGCTCTGAAGACCCAGTGTCTTTGCACATACTTTTCCTCCTGCCTGGGTTACCGCTTACTTTCTTATTTGCCTAAAGAATTTGTCTTGGTGTTGGATTCCCACCCCACCTTATAGCACTCAGGGCCTCCTTCTGTAATAACACTTGTCACACTGAGGAATGGGGTCTACTTATGAGTCTGCCTCACAAGGTTTTGAGCCCCTGAAAACAAAGACCTAGTGTCTGGCATGGAGCCTGGCTCAGAAGAAGCTCCTACAAATCTGCTGAATTGGGTGTGACAGGGACACTGAACAAAGGCTATCTGGGAAGTACCAGCCTTCCGGGAAGTACCTAGAGAAAAAGCCCTTGCATGGTCACTGACTTTCCCAGGGCTGGGCTGATGAGTCATCTCTCAGCTCCTTCTATGGGTTGTAGGGAATCCAAATCTTCTAGCACCTCTTCCTTCAGCTTATCATCTAGAGGAATCCAAGCATTGGATCTAGGTTCAGGGGTACTTATTTCCTAAGTCTCCTGAATCCTGGAGAGAAGATGCTAGGGGATTCGGGGTGTGGGCTTGACAAATCAGCATATGAACTCCAGGGCTGTGTTCTTTTGAAGAGGAAGGGTTGAGACAGATTCTGAACTATGCCCTACCCTTGCTTCTGCCCACTGCCCTCTTTGTGGGTCTCAGACAGACCAGTGACTTAACTAAGCCTTTACTGAGTCAAAGGTCCTGTTTAAGAACTGTGACCCAATTTTGATGAAGATTGGTCAAATACGCGTGTTCATATACATAGACTTTATAAAACAGAGTATTTTCCGGAACATTATTTCTATTAACTACCTAACATGTGAACTTTGAAGAATGTATTATAATGAGCAGTATACTTACTCATTTCAGTTTTCCATCTAATTACCTGCCCATCTTTTACACCACTCTTCTACAGGGAAATGGGAAGGGGAGAAGAGAAGCTGCAGAGGGAAGGAGAGGACTATTAGAACAATATTTCCCAGTTCTCTCTGGGAACACACTCTGTTTCAATCTGTAACACACTCTGACACTTTCGGTCCGGCCACCTGCTGGCCCAGGCTTCTGCCTATTGCAAAGCCACACACGATGTCAAGACACCATGACTGCCATCACATCCAGCCACCCCATAAATACTTCCTGCACACCAAGTATATCTTGACGGGTGCCATGAGTCATTTTGTTCTGTTTGGGAGGCTGTGCATTCATGAATGACCAGTGTACTTTTCCTCCCTTGTTTGAGTTCATTTATCACTACTGAGAGAAGACTTTTAATTACATTATGAGAAAGGTTCCCCCTTTTAAAGGGTGTGCTACTCAGTGAGGATAGTCTACTCAGTTGAGAAAGGTGTGCTTTAGCTCATAGGCATAAAACATGAACAGTGAGATTTTTATTAAGGATCTAATGATCCTCCCAAAAGAACAAAAGCCAAGTGATTTCCAGTCTCCCAGAGTTCTCTATAGCAATCTTTGATAATCACTCTAAGATATTCCTCGAGAGTACATCTGGGAGTGAATTCTCTTTCTCCATAGTGATAGTATAAACTTAATAGGGTTTCTGTTGAGGTCATGACTGAGAAACCAGCAACCCAGGTTTAGCCCAAATGAATTTTGAAAATAAATCTTCCATGACTGTCAACCTTCATAACAATCTTGAAAAGAAAGATCTTGCTCCAAGCTCTACAATGCAGGCATGAAGTTTCCACATATAGTGATTTTATGAAGGTTTACAAAGAAAACCTACAGTCCATAAAATCCACAACCCTCAAGTATCATACAAATTATCCAAATGAACATTTTTAGATACAACAAAAAACCATTTAGTAAATAGTCTCACATAACTTAGTACCATTAATAAGCCTTTCTTAAAGGTTATTCAAGGCAATTTAAACTGGTGCTTTTGACTTTCTCATTTTTCAAGCCAGCTGTGCAGAAATAATTCATAAGCATTATAATGGGCTTGAAGTATGAACTTTTCTTCTGGAAAATAATCACGATTGCATCATAAAAGCTTTTGAAAGGCTTATCAAAGACCACCATTATGAGGGTCTGGTGATACGGTGTCGCTGGAGAGGCACCCTACTCTTTGCTTCTCTGCTTTTGTCTCTTCTCTCACCATTCTTCCCAGTGATGAATACCACTTCCACCTATCCCAAATCCAAGGCCAAGCTTTGGTTCAGACAGGGGCTCAAGTCTCACCTCCAAAATTTACTAGGTGTCTTACCTCCAGAATATACTAGTTGTGGGATTATGGTCAAGTCGATGGGACTTTTCTAAACCTGAGTTCCCTCATCTGAAAGGTTGATAAAGATAGAACCAACAGAGGGTTTTTGAGAGGAGTTGGTGAAAGATGACCCTTGACCTAAGGCCTGTCATGTATTAAGTGTCCAATAACTTAGATGCTTTAGTGCTATTACTATAGGAAAAATAACCACTTAGAAATGTAATGAATGAAAGAGGGAGACAGTAAAGGAGTTTATGGATGATTTTGATTATGTATGAACTTCAGAACTCCAAACACCAGCATGGAGTGATCTCCTTTCCCTTTTACCCATGTTTTCCCAAGTCACTGGCCAGCACCGGGGAGTTCCAGCTGCAGTGAATGTAAATACCATGGGCAAATACGATGAAACCACAGCACTGAAGAGATAGAGCCATCTCTCAGTGTGCCTGATCCTAAATTCTCAAGGAACATCATCTGCATTTTGCTCAGTTTTCTGATTTAGTCTGTGCTTGGGAGGAGGCAAGGGAAGAACTACTCTGGGTGAAAAAGAGCCAGAGGCCTTCCACCCCTAAGGAAGGTCCCAGTAGAGAACCTGTGACAATAACACATGTTGTAGGTATTCTTGATGGTCTAGGACAGCTTTATTTATTTATTTATTTATTTAAAAATTTTACTTATTTATTTGACAGACAGAGATCACAAGTAGGCAGAGAGGCAGGCAGAGAAAGAGGGGAAGCAGGCTCCCTGCTGAGCAGAGAACCTGATGCGGGGCTCGATCCCAGGACCCTGAGATCATGACCAGAGCTGAAGGCAGAGATTTTAACCCACTGAGCCACCCAGGCGCCCCATAGGATGACTTCATTTAAACCCATTTGTTTGAGCCTTGCAATAATCCTAGACGGTCTACAATGCTATTATCCTAATTTACCTATCCAGTTATCTATTCATCCAACTCATATGCACTGAACACTTTCTATGCAAAAGTACTGGAGGTGAAAAAAATACACACAATCTCCACCTTGAGGTTGCTTTTAATCTAGTGGGAGAGATACATAGTCAATAAATAAACCAATAAATAAACATATAATCAGGGCTATTATTCTGCTGGTACACACTGGGTGATCAGGCTTACTATTAAATATGTTAGTACCATCCCCTTATATAATTAGCAGTTATGGTTAGTGCAGTGCAGGCAATGAATATAACACTGTGATGGGGGAATTGTAGGGTGGGGAACTATTTATATAAGGATGTCGGGACTCTCTGAAGACTGGCATCTAAGCCAAACTACGAAGGACAGCATCTGGTGGGCTGTCCTTCTTTCTTTCCTACTTGAGAAGCCTGGGCCATTCAAAGGGTGAAGTAAAGAAATGACAAAAACGGGTCTATGTTCACAAACACTCACAGCAAAATACAAAATGGAAGGGAAACAAATCTCCCATCATTTGAGGTAATTATGCATCGATTGGATGAACACGTGGCAAATATTCATAGGTACAATTTACACATCAGATTAGGGTTTGGACTAGATGATCAAGACCCCTTTCAAACCTGGGATTGTATGGTTGTATGCAAACTACACGTCTCTGTGTAAGTCTTTATTACCACCATTCATGCTGTCCAGCTCTATTAGGGCATCACAGCAGCACCCCACCCAGGAACACTCTCCTTCCAGAACTGTCTGGATTCACAGGGAAGATGGGGAATGAAAAGGTATCCGCACTTAGATATCTAGCTAAGCATGACCACTTTACAGTGTTAGTACCACACCCCGTACAGACAAAGGGGCTGGACATAGAAGAATATCTGCAGTGTGGTCACAACCCTATAAAAAACATGGGTGCAACCCAAATTTTTAAGTTGTGGCCTTATGGTAGAATCTTCGGTGATCTTCACTTCATTGTTCTATCCTTATAAATTTCACCCAAATCTAAACATATGCACATTTCTCATTAAAAGTAAATGAGCATGTTTGGAAATAATAAAATAAATCCTATTTATCTTGGGAAGAATTAGAACTACCATGTGATCCAGGAATCACATTTCTGAGTGTGTGTGTGTGTGTGTGTGTGTGTGTGTGTGTGTGTAATAAGGTCACTATCTCAAAGAGAAAAGTAAATAAATGCCTCTTAATTTGCAGTGAAGAAACATTAAAATGGGGATGGTGGAAGGACTCACCAATGTGAATTCATCATGTGGTAACACTTTTGTTTCCTAATTTGCAGTGATTTTGCATTATGGCAGTCAAATAACAGCACAAGTGTTTCCAGAAACCGGGGACTATCTGCCTACAACAGCAGCAACAGCAGAGGCCACAGCAAAGCCTTTCCTGAAACTAATTCACCACATCCCTCACCAAACTTCAGCAGCCAGATCAATCGATGGTCACACCCCCTCTCAGAGAGCTGCCCCACCCTCCAGCTCTGAACTCCCAACCACACACACAACAGTAAAAACTCTGGTAACAACGTCCTTGCTAACTACAAACAGCATCCCAGCTACCAGCCCGACAACCCACACCCTAGTCACAACCTTGGCCACACCCAATAACTCACACACAGTGGCTTCTCTCACTGAAGCTACAATTGGTCCCAGTGCAGCCCCAGGTTCACCGCCAACTACCTTCCCTCCATTGGCCCATACGACAGGAACAAGCCCATCGACTGTCAGCCACACAACTAGGAAAGCCACCCAACCCAGGAACCAGACCGCCCTTCCAGCAACCTTGTCCACCCCACCGCTTAACAGCACAACCAGTCACCAGTCTGCCCAACCCAGTCATGCCCCAGGCCCAACCACAGCTGCACACAATACCACCCACACGGCCTCACCTGCCGCCACAACTTCCGGGCCCACTCTTGCACCTCGGCCTTCGTCAGCCAAGACTGGAATGTACCAAGTTCTGAATGGAAGCAGGCTCTGTATCAAAGCCGAGATGGGGATAGAGCTAACAGTTCAAGACACAGAGTCGGTAAGTTGGGGCCATAGGACTGTAACACTGCCTTCAAAAAGTGTGAGGGAGGGTGTCTTGCTAAGAATAGACATTCCCCCTGCATCTTGTGTCTTTGAATGAAATAAATAACTACAAGCTCCTCTTTCTCCAAGGTGCTCCATGAAAAGATGAATCTGTTTTAGAATGCATATAAGAATAGAAACTGGTAGCAACTGGCTAGTGGAGGGAGCACACCAAAATCGTAACCATGCACACCTCTCACTTTTAGCCAACGTGGGCACGGTGTTGGAGTGTGCTCTGCATTGACCCCAGCCTGGCCCTGCCCCTCCTGTTGACCTCAAGCCTCAGCAACTCTCCTGTGAAGGGAAGGCCTTGACTCACATGGTCTCCATGGTTCCAGCCAGCTGTGACATTCACATCAAAATTCCCGGTTAACAAGAGGATTAGAAGAGGTGGGGGTGGGGTTAAAATTATTTAATTTACTAAAAGAATCGCCATAAAAATAATACTTTCTCTTTTTTTTTGGCACAGGTTTCATTGAACTTCCACATTCAGGTTTTCATGTGAAACAGAAGTACATTAGACAACAAGATCTTTCCTTGTAAAACTCGTAACACACTTACCTTGTAATGTGTTTAATTTAACAAAAATTAAATTCCATGCAGTGTATCAGGAACAGACTGGCTATAAATGAACTCTCAAGGAACGCTTTCTGTGGGAGAACTTCTTCTTTGAAAAATCTTTTGAACATAGCAGTTTGGAAATGAGAGAGATTTTCTGGGGACTTGGAAGTTTTCAAGTGAACTCTCACTAGACTTGAGTTTCAGGCTCACTAACTAGCTGTGCTTCTGGTTCCCAAGCTAGAGTTTTCCTTGAAATCTCATTGATCTGATGATTTTATCTGGTTTAGGTTTTTTCACCTCAGAGATACTTCAACATTGACCCCAATGCAACCCAAGCCTCTGGGAACTGTGGCTCCCGAAAATCCAACCTTCTCTTGAATTTCCAGAGCGGATTTGTGAATTTCACATTTACAAAGGTGAGGACTGAGCTCCTTCATACTAACAGGCTCTAGCATCGCTTTCCCTTTCCCTCACCCTGGGGCCCAGTGGTGCAACCCCACACTTCACTTTAAGTTCCAAAGGAAATAGATCTCAGAGCCTTTTGAGACATTCCCTGATAAGAATGAGGGGCATGGAGATGGAGAGGAGGGAAGTGTCAACATCTTATGTTTGCCTCCTAACCCCTTCAGCCTCCTCTGTGCAGCCCAAGAAGGGCTTCAGTGCCTCTTAGGGGAGACTTGGCCTTGGGGAACCCAGCCACAGGTGCCCTTTGCAAACCACCCAAAGGAGGAAGTTAAACAGATTAACAGACCCACTGAAATTCCCAGTGAGCACACAGAAACAGGATTATTCTCAGACCAAAATCAAATGTCATGATGGGTTCTTTCCAACTGCAGCAGGAAAGATTCAGGGACTAACCGGGCACTGGATTTTCCAGACCATAGTACAAAAGGGGTGGACCACAGAGTGGGGTGGAAAGACTATGGACATGAGGTCAGAGAGTCTTGGCTGAAATTTGACTCTGTCACTTGTTCTCCTTGTGACATCAGGCAGGCAACTTAACATGTCTGAGCTTTATTTGAATACTTGAGAAATGGGGGAAGGGAATTAAAGATCACCTCTGTAAAGAACACTTTCAGTAGTTGGAAAGTAGATGTTCAAGACCAGTAGCTATGATTACAATGACTCAAGTGGGTGAATGTCTTGGGGATACAACGTTGGTCATCCCACTCTCAAAGGAGAGACTTGTCCCGGATTCTCCCAAAGTATCATTCAGATAGGCCAGGTAAGAGCTGGAGAGGTGGTGCTGAGAGGATGCTGACAGCTGGGACTTGGTATGGGTCTCCTTCCTACCTGTTGAATGTGACCCCTGAATTTAGAAGGGTCTTGGGTACCAAAGCTTGGAGAGGAATGAGCATAGACATTGGCATGAAACAAGTCAAGATTGGCTCTCAGTCATAACATTGATTAGCCACATGATCTCGGACTACTTGGGGCATGTTTTCTCATCTATAAAATGGAAATAATTACACCTCCTTTAGTGGGACCCATGGGAGGGTCAGAAATGGTATATGTAAATTGTCTTGCACGGTGCTTGGCACATAACAATGTTCAACAAAGGGTGTTGACTTTCTTAATTTGGTGTCAAAGACTTTATCCTCCTTGTGCATATGGTTCTCCTTAAGGTAGAGGTGCACTGGAGAAGTCAGGGGTTTCCTTTCAGTATCAAAAGAGAAAAATGTATTCTCTCACACCAGAAGAACATTCTGGGAATAATGTGTGCTCTACTTCGGGACAACTGAGGTTAAACCTACAGAAGGGTCAGGAATTCTTTTAAAGTTGCTTCAGCAAAAGGGCGGAGGGTATAGGTACAAGCATCGGTGCTTTAGTTCAGGGCTTGATTCCACCCAGACTACTGCCTGTATGAGCTTTTGGTAAGCATCAAAGCCCAGCATTTGTCTGTAGCATGCTGTGCCCACTGTCTTAGGCAGGTCTGCAACCAGGAGTTTCTTTGGCACCTTTCAATGTCTCTTTTTGCTCCTTTCCTCTGTCTCCTAATGCCCTCTCTGCCTGCCTTTCCAATGCCTTCAGACTGGATTCTGTTTGATCAAACTCCACCCAAGGGTTGAGCCCCTGTCTTTCTGGAAATCTCTGTGCCTCCAGAGGTAGAGGCAGGAAATGAGTTTGGAGATGGAGCTAGAAGCAAGCACCAGCAGGGTTTTCCTCCCTCCACTCACCTTCTGGAAGGAGCAAGGAAAGCCACTATCCATGGCCCCAAGTTTGTAATAGCTGCTTTGCCTGAGTTCCGCCAACCAAATTCACCTTATTTATTTCATTCCCTGGCACCAATTCCTCAAGCAGCTGACCTTAGCTTTATTGCAAGAGGAAAGCAAGGAAGATTATAGAAAGCAAAAGTTCCCACCAGCCTTAGTCCTTTTGGAGAATTTCCACATTGTAAAAGAGAACTTGTTTAAGCCAAAATAGTGACCACAAGTTCAAAGATCACAGGGGCTAAGTATAGAATTGAAAGAGAGAAGTAGGCCAGTAATTTTTTTTTCCTTGAAACAGGCAGTCATTTTTTTCTCCCCACTTTTGATGACGACTTCACCTTCCCATTAAGTCTGCCTAAGAAAAACATTGGAGGATTGAGATGATGGAGGCGAGCCTCAGAAATGAGGAGACACGAGGGAGGGGTAGGGAGTCCCAGAGATGCCAGTGGCTAGGCAGGCATCACTCTCTGGAGGCTCTCACTGTCTTTTATGGTGGACATCCATTCTAGATGGCTGGGTATACATTCCGAGTGGCTGCTGCCCTATTATGTCAATCGTTAAATATTTTACATATCATCTCTCTCAGTTGGTCACCAGAAACCAGTGTTGTAGATCTTCTGACTGTTCAAGACAAGGCAGAAATCCAGATCTTTTTATCTTTAAATGCTGGCAACACGTTTTTTGGAAAACTTCAACAAAGCTAGCCAAACAGAACACAGTGGTAAGCCAGATTTGGCCTGTGGACGTTCTGCCCTAATAGGTGGTCTGTGTGAAATGCATTTAGGCAGGAAAGCCATCTAGTTTCTTCCACAGGAGAAATGGTCTTAGCAATTCTGTCAACCACTTTCAAAATGTTGCTACCCTCTAGACCAGTGCTTCTTGGTAGCAACAGTATTAATGTTTGGCTCCAGATAAGTCTGTGGTATCTTGTGCCTTGTGGGATACTGAACAGTATCCCTGGCCTCCTACTTACTAGATGCCAGTAACAACACCCAGCCCCATTTGTGTCAACCCCAAATGTCTCCAGACATTGCCCAATGTCCCCTGGGGGAAAATCACCCCTGGTGAAGAATGACCAAGTTAGAGAAAAGAAGAGTCTTGGAAAATAGTTTGTGTTAGTTATGACATCATAAATGTTATAAATGAGAACCAAGTTGGAGAATGGTAAATGGATGCTGGTAAGCAAGCCTAAATTAACAAATTACTAATGGGAATTTACTGAGCACTTATTGTGTCCTGAACACTGAACCAGACATTATGAGAAAAAATAAAAGAAATATAGGCAATAGTTCCAGGTTTCAAAACATAGACAATAATATGTAATTTTTTTTTACTTGAAATACTGCCAGTGACAGAAATGTAAAGAAGTCTGTCTCCCTAACTGTCTCTTGATGTTGTTCTGTCAAGACTTAAATTATCCATGTCATTTCTATGTGACCACGGACAAGTCACTAGCTCTCTTTCTGAGCCTGTTTCCTTCTCTGTGAGATGAGGCCAACCACCTCCGGTTTTGTTAGGTTGCTGTGAAGGTGAAACAGGCTAGTGTACATGGCAGTGCAGAGCGTGGTATCAGGTCCCTAGCTGGGTTAGGAGTGGTGGGTTTTGTTTTTTTTTTTTTCTCATTTCTCTCATTTCATTTTTAAAGAACGGAAAACCTTCCCATGTCAGGGTCTCATTTAATTCAGGTCACAAACTGAAAGTTGTTCAGGCTCTCCAGGTGCAAGATAAATAGACCTCCCTTCCCCCACACCCCACAATGTCCTTCCTGCTAGGTTAGTTTGTTTCAAAACATCTTTCAGTAACTTAGTGTAGAGTTTATTTTTTCCAGCTCAACACTACCCTTTTCTCATCCACCTGGCTGTCAGGACAGCTCAGTGAGGCTTCCATCCCTGACCTGGGGATGAGACATGGGAGAAATCAGTGGGAGGGCTGGGGGCAGAGGGAGGGACACCCAGCCAGGCAGCGTTTTGGCCAGACAAGGTCTGGAAAGCTAATGCTGCCCAGCGCCATGGTGTTTACCCAGAGCCTTGCAGGGGTATTTGGAGCCCTCTTAACTTAGAGACTCTGGAAAACTGTTCTCAGTGTTCAAATATTTAAAGCTTCCCCAGTATGCTGTATTATTTCATGCCCCGTTTTCCCCTATGCTTCCCCTCTGTCTGAAATGCCCCTCTCACCCTCAGCCCCTTTTGCACTCATACTTTAAGATGGCTCATAGATCTTTACCCTGTGGAGTCTCCCCCACTGCCCCACCCCTCACCTCCATCCCAGGTAAAACTGGGAGGCTTTCTTCCTTTGGTTTCTGGACCCTGCATTGATGGTTCCCCAAACTCCATTAATGCACTCATTGCACATTTTGCTGTCTTAAAGGCATGTTTGTGATTTACTCACGGTGCCAAGCCCTGACTTTGTACATAAGTATATCTTTAGCAAATTGTTTGATGAAGAAATGAATCAATAAAGGAATGAATCTGAATTTCACAGGGACTCTTGGCCAGGCTGCCAAAAAGTAGATCGGCAGCTCCAAAGAGACAGCCTCTTTGGCTTTCCCTTGGCATATACAGAGCAAAGGTTTCTTGACATAGTCGCAACAATGCTGAGCAAAAAAGGCCTGATTGATGTTGAAGACAAAAATCCACATCCTGAACATCGGTGACTATGAAACTCCCACAATGCATTTTGCTGACCTTAGGGAGAGGACCCTGGGCCTCAAGGTCATTGGTATGCCTCCCGGGATAGGTTGATTGACTGGTTTGCTCTGGACCTAGTCCTTTGCTGAGGAGGCTGTTTAGGTCCCTTGGGGAGTTAGGGACCCTCTGATGAGATACTGCTGAGCTCTTAGATACTGGAGATGAGGAGCCCTGTGTCATCCTTCCATCAGTTGAGTGGTGAGCTGGGACATGTGCCAGTGGTCTATTCCCATGGACACACTGTAAGACCTGAAGTACCACAGCTCGCTCTTAGGAGTCCTTAGCCCCTTTTGGCAATCCTGATAGGTGCACAAAGGATTTTCACTTTGTTTTCAAGAATCTGACATGGTTCATCTTTGTCACTTTCCAACCTGAACCCCAAATGCAAAAAAAACATCTGGCAGAGAATCACTGTGTGGGCATCAAAGGAGAAAGCAGATACTACTAACTACATAATGTGCAGCATGTAAATACCCTGGTGCTTTGGGTTAAGTGTGACATCTGCTTGAGGCTCCTTCC